GATCTAATAATTTCCTCCTCACTAAACAGAACACAGAGAGTAGTAGTCAACAGAGTAAAGTCCGAGGCAGGCACGGTGAAAACTGGCTGTTCCAACAATAGGCACATACTCGCCACCATCTTGTTCCTCATCCTCATATAGACATAGACAAGGATGTCAGCCACATCAATCAACCGTGTCTTCTTTGCAATGACACCCGAATCTGCATGACAGTGTCTCGCATTGGAAGACACGCAAGGCTCCAGGCGGACATCAACCAAATTTTCAGTGGGCTGCAGAAAACAATATGAAGTTCAACGATGAGAAATTTCAATTACTCAGATATGGTAAACATGAGGAAATTAAATCTTCATCAGAGTACAACACAAATTCTGGCCACAAAATAGAGCGAAACACCAACGTCAAAGACCTGGGAGTGATCATGTCGGAGGATCTCACCTTCAAGGACCATAACAATGTATCGATCGCATCTGCTAGAAAAATGACAGGATGGATAATGAGAACCTTCAAAACGAGGGATGCCAAGCCCATGATGACACTCCTCAGGTCACTTGTTCTATCTAGGCTGGAATATGCTGCACACTAACAGCACCTTTCAAGGCAGGTGAAATTGTTGACCTAGAAAATGTACAGAGAACCTTCACGGCGCGCATAACGGAGATAAAACACCTCAATTACTGGGAGCGCTTGAGGTTCCTGAACCTGTATTCCCTGGAACGCAGGCGGGAGAGATACATGATTATATACACCTGGAAAATCCTAGAGGGACTAGTACAGAACTTGCACACGAAAATCACTCACTACGAAAGCAAAAGACTTGGCAGACGATGCAACATCCCCCCAATGAAAAGCAGGGGTGTCACTAGCACGTTAAGAGACCATACAATAAGTGTCAGGGGCCCGAGACTGTTCAACTGCCTCCCAACATACATAAGGGGGATTACCAACAGACCCCTGGCAGTCTTCAAGCTGGCACTGGACAAGCACCTAAAGTCGGTTCCTGATCAGCCGGGCTGTGGCTCGTACGTTGGTTTGCGTGCAGCCAGCAGTAACAGCCTGGTTGATCAGGCTCTGATCCACCAGGAGGCCTGGTCACAGACCGGGCCGCGGGGGCGTTGACCCCCGGAACTCTCTCCAGGTAAACTCCAGGTAAACCTCCCTGCTCCGGCTGGCACTATCTCCCTGCTCCGGCTGGCACTACCTCCCTGCTCCGGCTGGCACTACCTCCCTGCTCCGGCTGGCACTACCTCCCTGCTCCGGCTGGCACTACCTCCCTGCTCCGGCTGGCACTACCTCCCTGCTCCGGTTGGCACTACCTCCCTGCTCCGGCTGGCACTACCTCCCTGCTCCGGCTGGCACTACCTCCCTGCTCCGGCTGGCACTACATCCCTGCTCCGGCTGGCACTACCCCCCTGCCCCGGGCTGGCACTACCCCCCTTGCTCCGGGCTGACACTACCTCCCTGCTCCGGCTGGCACTACCTCTCTGCTCCGGCTGACACTACCTCCCTGCTCCGGCAGGCACTACCTCCTCTCCGCTGGCATGCCCCTGCTCCGGCTGGCACTACCTCCCTGCTCCGGCTGGCACTACCTCCCTGCTCCGGCTGACACTACCTCCCTGCTCCGGCTGGCACACCTCCTGCTCCGGCTGGCACTGCCTCCCTGCTCCGGCTGGCACTACCTCCCTGCTCCGGCTGGCACTACCTCCCTGCTCCGGCTGGCACTACCTCCCTGCTCCGGCTGGCACTACCTCCCTGTTTCCGGCTGGCACTACCTCCCTGCTCCGGCTGGCACTACCTCCCTGCTCCGGCTGGCACTACCTCCCTGCTCCGGCTGGCACTACCCCCTGCTCCGGCTGACACTACCTCCCTGCTCCGGCTGGCACTACCTCCCTGCTCCAGCTGGCACTACCTCCCTGCTCCGGCTGACACTACCTCCCTGCTCCGGCTGGCACTACCTCCCTGCTCCAGCTGGCACTACCTCCTGCTCGTGACATACCTCCTGCTCCGGTGACACTACCTCCCTGCTCCGGCTGACACTACCTCCCTGCTCCGGCTGGCACTACCTCCCTGCTCCAGCTGGCACTACCTCCCTGCTCCGGCTGACACTACCTCCCTGCTTCGGCTGGCACTACCTCCCTGCTCCGGCTGGCACTACATCCCTGCTCCGGCTGGCACTACCTCCCTGCTCCGGCTGGCACTACCTCCCTGCTCCAGCTGGCACTACCTCCCTGCTCCAACTGGGTTATAAGTGACCCTGGCAGGTTAAATCACCACCACCAGATGTATACAAAACGAAATGTAAATTTTGCCAGACGGACAACTGTCACACCTTGTGTCATTATGTGTCGAAATGCGCTAAAATTTATGAATTTAGAGACGGCTCATTCAGAAATGTTCAAGAAAAATCAAAGTATTTTATCCACAGTGGTGTATTAAAATCCACTCTGGTAAAATACCCTGACTTTGCTCACTGTAAATAAAGCATTACCACTCTCGTGTGTGTGTGTGTGTTTGTGGTGTGTGTGTGTGTGTGTGTGTGTGTGTGTGTGTGTGTGTGTGTGAGTGTGTGTGTGTTTGGGGTGTGTGTGTGTGTGTGTGTGTGTGTGTGTGTGTGGTGGTGGTGTGTGTGTGTGTGTGTGTGTGTGTGTGTTTTGTGAATAACTCAATACGATTGTCACCAGATATAAACATGAAAAAAAGTTCATTACCTTTGTAAGTTGTTAAGCTATCAAAACTTAGGTGCCCGGTCCCTGGACTCATTATGTACCTCTTTAATCTTTTGACTACCACCCACACCGTGGGTATGGGCTATAAAGATGTTAACTAATACTTGACACTGCGTGTGTTTGCTGGTGTTGTGAGAACATTAGTGAGGCAGATAATGATCTAGCACATACTGAAGTATAAAGTATGCAATATCAATCTTGGCAACAACTATTTTTAGCCTTCTATGTCCACCTTCCTTACCACAAACTGGTCGTACTGTAAAGTCTGGCCGGTGAGCCGGCTGTACCCTGACTCACCACAGACCCTCATTACCACACCTTCATTGTCTTGCCGCGGTGCCTCCACAGTGACGGCACTACTGAACGCATCGTCTTATGACAGAGACTCATGTTAGGCTATGTCCCCCATCCTCCCAACTAATGAACCAATAACTGTGCATGACTTCACATGAAAACTTTCAATATTATCAGTGTTGAGTGGTCCTACTTTGTAGTGTGTAGAGTGGTAGTGAGTTAAGTTGACATGTGCTGGGTAACTCAGGTGAACTGACCAGAACTTGAGTCCTGGAGATGAGAAGTACAGTGCCGGCACTCTAAAGGGAAGGTGGTAATGTTTCAGTTTAATAACTGTAGTGTAAGCATGCCTCTGGCAAGACAGTAGTGGAGTGAATGATGAGAAACTTTTTCTTTCTCTTGCCACCCTGCCTTGGTGGGAGGTGGCCGATGTGTTGATAAAATAATAATAATAATAATAATAATAATAATAATAATAATAATAATAATATAGTCAAGTTAAGTGCTAAACATCTAAGAATCATAGAGTGGTGCGGGATGTGAAAGAAGGAATGTGCAAAGGTAGGAACGAGTGAGGATACACAGGTGTGAGCATTGGCGGCACCAAGGAAATCTTGGAGGGACTTCAGCCCCCCCAAAATACCTCTGCCCCCAAATAAAATTACTAATAATAGTAATAATATCCGCTACAAAACAAGCCTCCTACCTAACTACTTCCTGCCAGATAACCAGCCCTAAACCTGACCCTCCTCCAGTATAAAAATTCTGGTGGCTTCCCTGGGTGTGAGTTGGGGGCTCATGCAAGAGTAAGATCTCGAAACTGATGCAATAGGTTAGTTCCCGTTAGAAAGTCAAAGAGTGTCTGCCTCAAAGTGGTACTTTCAGTGAGGTCAGCTAGAGTGTGTTGGGGATCTGTAGACGTCGGCCCGGTGGCTAAAGCTCCCGCTTCACACACGGAGGGCCCGGGTTCGATTCCCGCGGGTGGAAACATTTCGACGTGTTTCCTTACATCTGTTTGTCATGTTCACCTAGCAGTAAATAGGTACCTGGGTGTTAGTCGACTGGTGTGGGTCGCATCCTGGGGGACAAGATTAAAGGACCTCAATGGAAATAAGTTAGACAGTCCTCGATGACGCACTGACTTTCTTGGGTTATCCTGGGTGGCTAACCCTCCGGGGTTAAAAATCCGAAGAAATCTTATCTTATCTTATTACCGCGTAGGGTTCATTACCATGCAGGGTTCATTACCATGTAGGTTCAGAGTGGTGTTGAGGTAAGGTGACTCGTGCTAGGTGAGAGAAGCGACGGTCCAGGTTCCACAGTGACTGCACCTCCTCCTCCAGCCACACACTGGGGGATAGGAATGAATATCAGATATAAAATACACCGACAAGTATGCAGATCATACAGGGGCTCATACAGCACCTAAGGAATAGAAGGTATTCAGGTCTGATCCGAGGAAGGCGAAAAAATAACTCAAATTCCTTAGATCAACAGTCCCTCACCAGCTTCAAGGTACCTGTCTCATGCTAGAGAAGAAATTCGGTCACTGGCTAGTATTAAACTTACTTTAGTAACATATCTTTCCACCTCTAGTAAAGATCACTTATTTCCTACATAGTGTTAACAAATGTTAAATACTGGGTATCTATGCCTAAAACTTGATCATCATTATTCGTATTAAAGACACGTATATATTCCATTATCCTTTCCAATACACCTTTTGATAGACAACTCGAGATATTTTAATGTTAACAAAAGAATACAATTATTGAACGCCAGACTTCAACAACTTATTTTTAAGTAAATAATAGGTGTTCTATAAATAATTATTACATACACTCATGTGTATGTAAATGCTGTCCCAAAAACAAATGCTTTGTAATGTCAGTTTCATTCGCAATACAACACACAGGATATATACACCGTGTGTCTCTCATATACACCGTGTACGTCTCATATATACCGTATATGTCTCACATATACACCGTATATGTCTCTAATATACACCGTATATGTCTCTAATATACACCGTATATGTCTCTCATATACACCGTGTATGTTTCTCATATACACCGTATATATGTCTCTCAGTGTGTATACAGAGAGAATTTACTGTTGTGCCTATATTTTTAATACGGTATACTTAAATTTGTGGTGAATAGGTGACATGCAGCCTTAATTAATGACTCTCGTGTAGTTGATAGGTTCTGAACCCCATTAACCAATCAACCTTAACAACGGTTGTAAGTCCAAAGCACCACCTACTGTTTGAGTGACCAGGGACTCCTGGAAGCACTATGATTGAAATCCTTCAAGACGTTGTGTGAAGCGTGAAGGTGCCTGCTCGCCCTTTCCTTGACCTGCTCGATCTCCCCCGGGTTGATGACCTCGTAGATGAGAACGATGTAGGGGTCGAGGGAGACCTGCTCTACCTTGAAGGGTGCCAGAAGAAGCCAGGGGCTGCCACTGCTCATGTAACGGCACTGAAGCTCAGATATCACTAAGTTCGTCTGTCATCAAATAAGACCACAAGATCAGGAAGCTCACTCTGTACTTCAGTGTCTTAACAACTGTAAACTTATGGTTAACGGCTTTTACACTAAATTATTTATACCTCAGTAAACAGAAATGGAGAATATGTGTGACATTTTTTCCGAAATTGTATTTAATTTATAAATCATTTATATCGATTAATACTTAACATAAACCAGGTAAAAAAAATCAATCTAATGAGTTCAACATGAAATTAACATACTTGAGCAAAACTGTAATGTTCCCTGCAAAGGAAGGGCTTCAGTGCTGACGAAGAGCTCTTGATACAGAAAAGTAGAGCCTCCCTACATTTCCTAGAATCAAGCCTGATTACCTCCCATTCCCTTACGGGTTTAGCGCTCGCTCCCCTGATTTAAAATAAATGGAAAACTGGATGAGGGAGCATAGTCTTGCTCCAGCCTTACCCTGAGATCGCCTCCTCTACAGAGTCTCTCCACTTGGTGCAGCTCCACCAGGGGGCGCTGCTGCAGCATCCAGGTCTTGTTGCCGTGCAGTTTCAGGTACTGCACGCCCACCACTACACCCTCCTCCTCCTTCACATAGCTGAGGCTTTCTCTCTGATGCTCATACGGCGTCGGGGCTGTGACGTGGGTAAGCGAGCGAGGACCTCTGATCTCTAGGACGTGGTCATGCTGCCGTGTGGGAACATGAGAACAATGTATCTACCGCATCTGCTAGAAAAATGATAGGATGGATAATGAGAACCTTCAAAACTAGGGACGCCAAGCCCATGATGACTCTCTTCGAATTGCTTGTTCTCTCTAGGCTGGAATACTAATGTACACTAACTGCCCCATTCAAGGCAAGCGAAATTGCTGACCTGGAGAGTGTACAAAGAACTTTCACGGCACACATAAGTACGATAAAGCGCTTAAATTATTGGGGAAGGTTGAATTCCCTTGATTTGTATTCCCTGGAACGCAGGCGAAAAACGTACATGTTAATATACACTTGGAAAATCCTAGAGGGATTAGTACCAAATTTGTACACGACAATCACTACGAAAGCAAAAGACTCGACAGGATATGCTACATTTCCCCAATGAAAAGCAGGGGCGCCACGAGTACACTGAGAGACAACACAATAAGTGTCCGGGGCCCAAGACTGTTCAACTGCCTCCCAGCATAAATAAGGGGGATTACCAACAGACCCCTGGCTGTCTTCAAGAAGGCACTGGACAGGCATCTAAAGTCAGTACCTGACCAGCCAGGCTGTGGTTCATACGTCAGTTTGCGTGCGGCCAGCAGTAACAGCCTAGTTGACCAGACCCCGATCCACCACGAGGCCTGGTGTCAGATCGGGCCGCGGGGGCGTTGACCCCCGAAACCCTCTCCAGGTATACTCCAGGGGTAAA